GAACAGCGAAACATTAGAGCAAGGCGAATAAAAGCAGCAGTAAGAATGGTTCTCGCATCGGTGTTACTCTACTGTTGCTGTTGGCTCCCAGTCTATGTCTTAAATCTTGTTCGGCTCATAATACCCTCACTATGTTTCGAGTGGTATTCGTTAAACTATGTAGTTTATATCTATTTTCCAATTGCCAATTCCTGTTTTGGCCCTTATATCTGTATTATCTGTTTGCATGACTTTAGAGAAGCTGCAAAGAAAATATTATGTCGAAGAATGCATCAGAACCAGGCTCCAAATGAATACAACGCAATTGAGTTGCAGCCAATGGAAATTATTCCAAGAAGACGAAATCCAGAACAATAAGAAGCTATTTAGATCATAAATTGAACCTTGACTAATTTTGATTAATTTTAATTTTAATTCTAACACCTTTCTTTCATGGTACATATGGCTCAACTCATGGTGTTTCTGGTGCTTTATGACACAACTCATGATCAAAACCTGTTTGAATTTTGCCAAAAATTCCAGGTCGCGTTGGATAGAACGTTTCCAAAGGTACTAAACCAAAAAAAAGAAGAAAGCTTGTTTTCTATCGTCATCTCGGCTTGCAGTTTTTTTACATAGCATGCTTGTTGACAAGACCGAAATTTGACATAATAACTTTATAACATAATAACATATTAACATAGTAACTTGGTGAGCTTTGAAATATTGACGCGGGTTGAAGCTAGTTGTATATCAGTAAGAACTGAAGCAACAGCTATGATTATTAGTTAAAAGGCGCATAAATCGTCTTATGACGTCGTTCGATTTGGGACGACTCCATCGCATGGACAAAAGTGGCCTGGAATAGAGCGAGGTATATCCTTATCCAGCGGATAAAAGTCTTAAAATCCAGATGCAATACCCAGTCGAATTGATAACACTACCTTCTTATGAATCGAGTATTGTTTTATTCCCTCACTCGAAGAAGCTCCGAAACTCGATTGCTTTATTAAATTTTCAGCCAACATTCTTTATTTGTTCTTCTGAAAGATTGGTAGGACACTGGYTGTTATTCCCAGCCCCCTCCCCCCTGGGCCCCCGCGTGGGGCGGGGGACAGGGAGCCCGCCACTAAGAACGGCTACGAGGAGACTATCACAAATCAAGAAAGCTCCATTTTCGAAGAAAAATAGCCGCTGTTTTATTAGACAGCAGATTCTCTTGCTAAGGACCTTTCCAAACACAAGAAAACACGAGAAAATGTTGTTAGTACTATAGAGATAGATAGAGATAGATAGCTAGTTTATTATAATCCTTTGCAGCCATAAAACTGGATAACGGACAATTACAAAGAATAAACAATGAACATATATAATAATGTATATATGATATCAAAGAGGCAAGATTTTGCTGTAACTCCGAGTTTCGTGCTACGCACTCATCAGATAGTATTTAATGAGTGCGTAGCACGAAACTCGGAGTTACAGCAAAATCTTGCCTCTTTGACTTCATAGCTCTACACTTTATGTGTATTGAGCACTCTTTAATAGGATCAGCTACTTCCTCATACGATTATATAATAATGTATTAAATGTTAAAGATTGAAAAACTGAACTACTTAAAAGGCTAAGATATAAATATATTGTACATTAAAAATTGGAAGTATATACGAGAGGAGAGTATTTTATCAGGAATAAATATTCGAGCCGATTTCGAGTGTTTTAAACGGCTTCAAAAACTCCAACACTAATTTGAAACTCAAATCYGTTAAAATTCTTGGAGAAATTGCCGTACAAATATGTTCAGAGATAAATGGGGCAAACTGATCATGCGCGAATCACTTTACAAATCACTCATCCCACATTGAATACTCATAAAGTAAAATAGAAGTGCTCTTGGCTGTTCACTGGAATCGGTTGACATCCTGCATTGGTCAATGATCAGGTTTCAAACCTGAGACCTTTGCTAGCTGGGTCATGGACATTTATATACCTATTTCAAAAAACGTTGTCGTCACCAGGACATAGTCCACTGTCTTGAGCCAGCAAAGAATCTCGGGATTTCCATACGTAATTAATTTTTTCAAAATATATTTGCCTATGTAGCTTAAATTCAATGGCGGCAAACACTACTAATACTATTGCGAGTATCAAACCCATCGAACAAGTCTCGCCATGAGACATTCTCCTTGAGAAATGCTCCTGCACGTTTTCAAAATATTCGCTACAAGACCGATAATTTACAATAACTGAAAGTGAATATATATTATTATGAAAATCCCAAGATTCTTTGCAGGCTCAAGACTGTGGACTGGGTGACTGACGACGACAATTTTTTTTGAAATAGGTGTATCTGATAAAGGTCACCCTTATTAGTATTCTTTATATAAAGAATACTAATAAGGAGTGTTTTATCAGATATAAAGGTCCATGCATGTGACCAAATAGGCTCATTCTATTGGCCTAGTAGCTCATTAATTATGTATGAGTTTTTGAAAAATGGTTAATACTATCGAATACTATCCGARAAATGTCCGTTAAATGTTGCGCTGACAATTTGCAAGTTTTCTCCGAGTTGAGGCTAACTCTCATCGCTCCGTCACCCATCCATTTAAACCATTGTGTGACAGGTATCTAAAGCATTGTGTAGCTATTACAAGCAGGTATAAACACCAAGTTTGTATCAATGGGAAAACTAGTCTAATTAGAGGTGAAACTGTCAAATCCTGACGACGATATTACTGAAAGGTAGGCAAGAATCCGTACATTTAACTGAATATTTCCATAATATAATATTTCTTATATTCTTTACCACTTGCTTTCATTAGATATTGTACTTTCAAGTCAAAAACTTTTTTGGGCAAATTCTCATCAACATTCGAACTGATCGAAGATGCCAAAATYTATTTTAAACATAGTTTTTTGAAAACAGACCTTAAGAGTTATTTCAAGACATAATTTGCTTTCATAGATAATTATATGATAAACAGAATATTACATTGTTGCTTTTTTCTTTTCGTGTTGAAAATCTTGCCTCACTCGTAAGAGATCCTTTTAATCGGAGATAAAATCCTTATTTCCGAGCGCCAATGCAATATCTTTTAGAGTAAACGTCGCTCTCAAATTTGGTCCAAATGACCGTCTATAATGTGTCTGTCTTATATGTTTGGTCCAAAATATTGGTGAAGAAGAAGTAAAAAAAAGAAAAACAACAGAGATCACGATGTTACCATTTTGTATTGCGTGGTGTTTACATAATTAATTATTATCTATATATTCAAGGCTCTACCCTTGTTTTATCAATATATAGCTCATGTCTGCTGTACGTTTTTTTAGTTTATATTTATTATATTTCACTAAGACGTCGTCGCTAATAATCAAAAATCGTCCAAATCAATTATTATACAACACTAGTGTTGTATCAGATTTACAACAAGGTCGTCACCATTGAGACAACTTAACACTAACAAAGGTCTTAGTTTTTTAAAATATCAAAATATCGCATCATGGACCTTCATTATGTTTTGAAGCAAAAAAATAGCAGCAAGTCGCTTATCCAACAGATGGCATGGCTTGCTTTCCATGTTGGATACTGAAATAATTGTTCAAAATGTTCTCTGTTGCAGTAAATTGCTTAGCGATTAAACTCAGAAGTTACCTTGTTTTTCATTTTTCGTCATTTATCTCACTGTAATTCATGTTAATTAGTGTTGGTGTTTCATAAGTCATTTACAACATTCGCTTCCATCTTGTGTTGAATTCAGTACAATCCTTCTCTTGCGTCTCCCATGCAACACGGCCGATCATGTTGTAAACTTTAGTACTTACAACTGAACAACGTTAATGAGCTTGACTCTATCATCATGATGTTACTGTTTTCTGGTGACAGACACTTGTATATTCAATACAACATATTTCTTAAGAATCAAAAGAGCCGGGGTCGTGTCAATAAGACAGGGTCTTTTGAAAAAAATTGTAACCAACTAGGGGGGCATTTTTTTTAATTTTTCGTGAAACTTTCAAATTACAAGGGCTCTTTTGCTAAAGCATATCACTTCCTATGTCATTCAAGGACAACATTAGAATACTTTTTATTCGACATTTGAATGTATTTCTCTTACAGAATCGCAGTCGATCTCGAGAGCATGGATTCGTGCAAAGCCAGGCTGTTGGCATTATTCATTTTAGTCTCGTTTACCTATTGTACAATGGCAAAGAGAGGCTTCAGAAAACATACTTTAGATTTCGAAGGTAAAAGCGTACCGTAATTGTATATATAATTTGCTACAACTAATTTTCTATGTGAAAAGGCCGTTGTGTACATATGTTGTGTTCTGATTTAGATAAGACGAAAAGCAAAAACGACTCATCCAAAGAGGAGGAGAATACCAGACTAATAGAGCTCATCACGAATGAAGGAAAACCAGGCTGGTTTAAAAATGCTACGAAAATGGTCAGGATATTTTTTGATTTTATTATTGAGTGCGCTTTCCATTTGTCAGAACTGGCCGGCCAGACCCAGAGAAAATGTTATTTCCCATTTAGTTAGGAAATTCAAATTTTCAAATTCTATCCATTATTCTACAGAAAACCTCGAAATGACTGATAAATCTTGACAAGAAGCATTATTTACCTCTAAATAGAGTGGACTGGCCGGCCAGTTCTGCCTAAATGGAAAGCACCCTAAGAGAAAAGCTATAGGTGTGGTGACCACCTTTGGCACCAAAATCTAAACCCAACGCGCGAAACACAACCAAGCTTTTATAAAATGCACATTCAGTATTACCACTATAAAAATGTTCATAAACTAGCACTATTTTCTACTGAACTTTCTTAGTTCTCCAAGACTTTCATTTAACAAACAATATTTTGACAACATTTTTATGAACATTTTTACTCGTCTGAAATTGTCGCAATATAGGTCATAGCCAAACATCAGATTTTCCTCTCAGGCAAATATCTCATTTTTTAAAGTCAAACTTCTTCAATCAAGATCTTTTGTTTATAGGCAAAGGAAAAGGGAAAGGAAATGAAAGCCAAAGGARAAATTAAACCAGAAAAGAGCAGAGATCTGGGCAATTCCTCTATTCTGCTAGCTGACCCCGGTTTGTACATCTGAAACACGCATTAATTTTCACTCCACGAACGATGGATATTCGCAGGACAAAAAAAACATCAATTGACAATAAAAATCTTGATGGCTAATCTTGTCATAATTTTCAAAGCGATAAAAATACTGAAATAATCCTTTTTCAATAATAAAAAAAAACACTATAAAAAGATCCCTGCAAAAAGAAAATAATTTGATTCATTGCATTAATATATCATAATATCGTCGTGCGATCGTAATTCAGCTATTTTCAGCACAGGTTCAATGTGAGCGCTCACTCGTGCATTTTAATAAAGTACAGCGATATAAACTATAATTGTTGTTATTTACAGGACCCCCAAAGCAATTGATATCAAGTATCTCCACTAAGCTGAGAGGATTCCCTGGTCCACTGGCCACACGTGTTAAAAGTACGGTCTCAGGGCTGAATGGTAAGTGGAACAAGCTTTCCGACGACGACCGTAAAGGTATTGCAGGTACTCTTAAAGTTATTTCAGAAAGTATAGAAAAGTTTGGCAATGCTGGAAAAGATCCGGTTGCAGCAATTCGGTCAGGAATCGACATCATTGGATCAATAGCCAGCAATTTTGGACCAAAAGGCCAACTTCTCAGCATGGGTCTAGGTTTCGTGTCCTCTCTACTTGGGTTATTTGGTAAAGGCTCAAAACCAAAGCCTATGTCCCAAGTTATCAGAGAGCGATAGATGAAGCCCTGGTTAAATATCGCGACGAGGATCTCACTGCCAAAGCAATAGGTTTGATAAGAGCATTCAAAGAGTCTAAAGCCTACTTAGATGGAGCGGCAAGGACAGGTAATCCTTTCAGTGAACAAGAGATGCAGTTGGCTTCCATTCGAGTTCCAATGACACAAGGTGCAGAATTTATGGGAGAGCTTGCAAGTGTTATTCTTAAAATGTTCAAAGATAATAAAGTTTCAGATGCAAAGAAATGCATTAAATATTGCGAGCTTTACGCCACATTGACATCGATTCGTGATATGATTTTAACACAATTCATATCCATGTCATCGAATGTTAAAAATGTGCAAAATGACGTCAATGGTCTGATAGGTTATCGGCAGAATTTCCGTGATGGAACAAAAGCATTATTCGAAAAACTCTACACGGTTGATTACTTTAGCAACATAATGCCATACTTTGATCCTGATGACAGCACTGTCACTGACACATATTCAACGGTAATGTTGAATTTGGGTAAGTACGATCGCTCCCTTTCTGGCCAGTATTGTCTCCAATACGAAGGAAATAAAGATTTTGAATGGCAACGTAAAGAAGGCTGGTTCGAGCTCACTGATGAGAGGCCTTATACTACAGTACGTTCGTCGACAAACAACTTGAATTGCTTTTGGAAGCTTATTCCCCACGGAAAATCTACTTACAGCATTGTCAACAAGTACAAATGTGACAAGAAATACGACTACTGCGATGCAATGCTGTCTTGGGATTCAGATGACAATAAGGCCTATGTTGGATTAGACTACAAAGACCCCGTGTTATGGGAAATTGCAGGCAATGATTGGAGATAGTAAGTAAAATATGAATTAAAAAGGGGGGGTGGTAAGTGGCCACTCCGGGATTCCCGAGCGGAAATATAAAAGGTTTTCAAATTGAGTCATAGACTTTTACTTAATTGGGTCCCGAAGGGCGGATAAGGATCCTATTTTCAGTTTGTATTGTTCTTGCATTTGTAAATCTTAGTTCCATTGCATTCAATCCCATTTTCCAGTCAAAAATGTGCTAATCCCAGCCGAAAGTTACTCCTACAAGAAACTAATTTTAGATTTTCCAATAATTTTGATTTGATACCAGCTGAAAGAATTCAAAGATCTTGAGAAGGGCAAAATTAAGTCAAAATTAAGTCCTCCGATCCCGAAACTAAAACTTGAGAGAGTCGGCTGATTTTGTTTTCCAGTCCCAATATGTGTCATGTATGTCGAGTGACATATTCTGACATCTAGATAGAACTAACCTGTTTTAATTCCAAACTACATGAAGCTACTATGATGGACAATATATATTTGGACACGATTAAACAGTTACTCTACTTAACACATCTTGTTTGTTGTACAGGAGGCCGGGGGGGGGCACGATATTCTACCGAGTGAGTGGTTGTCGTGTTGTCAAACTGTAACTTTGTAACGGTAACACGTTGCAATGTCCGACGTAAAATCTAGGATTGTAGCTATCCCCGGCCAATTCCCTTTTGTGTAACTTATATTAACATTCAATATAATCAAAATTTTAATCTCTGAAAGCATCCGTAACAAGTGGCATTGTCCGTCTCACAAGTTTTGCGACAAAGATTTGAGGGTATTGTACAGGAGAGAGACCAGGGTTTTTCGAGGATCAAAGGGCTTACTAGTGGGACAGTTAGCTTTGCCAGATGGTAAATACTACTGGAAACTCAGAAAGGTACAAATTCAGTCCTAAACATCGAWTTATTTAAAAGCTTTTGCAATGCTTTTTCATACACGACTTTCAAAAA